CCTTCCTCTTCCACCTCCTCCTCGTCCTCTTCGTCATCACGCCCCCAGCTCCTGAAAATATTCAGGGTGAGAATAACCGCACTTGAGCCAAAATGACTGCGGTGCAAGATCTCGAGCGTTGCCGCTCGAACGTTGTTCGGGCAGGCACACCTGCTCCACCGGTGGGGACGCTTTAAAATAACACCCCCCCAAAGGACACCGTCCGCTAACAATGTTGGTGGGTACTTCGCATAAACATGGACACGTAGTCCCTGCTGGCATATTGGTTAAGTCGTCTACACGGTTCTCGTGTGCTCTTACTTTGATCACGTGGATGCCTCATTGTCGGACTTTCTCGTGTAATCAAAATTGACAAGCCTCGATGTGCCAAGTATTCCTTAACCCGCGCCGGCTCGCATTGGCAATGGCCACGCTAGCATCGCTCTTCAACGCGATAATACAATCAACATCGAAAACTTTGACATAAGCTCGTGGTCCGAAGGTTACTGTTTCACCCTGTACGATTCCATCGTACCTCCCCCATAAAATCGCACCACTGCACCCCCACATGACTATTCCTCCACTTGTTGAATTCCGTCTCTTCTTACATCCAGTACAGTCAGCGTCGGTCCACAAGATTAGCTCTTTGTGGCGAGTGGCGCTTCTGGTTTAAGTACTGGAAGTCACACCTGTCGTGGTTTTTGAAATGCTTGCCCATCATTCGGCTTTTGCACGCCTTTGGATCAGAACCGACAGAGAACTGCATGTGGGCGCAGCTCTGTGCAAGATAGTTTGCCCGAGCCACTAAAGCCTGGTATTCCTTAGCTGTATGATTTGCCTCGGGCCCCTTTTCCCCCACCTCGCAGCAAAGCTGCTTCATCCCTGGCATGCCACATCTTACTTTGACTTGCTCCGGGCCTACCTTTTCCAAACAGGTTTTTCCAAATCATCCTGTGGTGTTGGGTCCTCCTTTTGAAGAGACTGCGCCGCGCGTTCCTTCTTTCTTCCTCTTCCCCCTCCTTTTTCATCTCGGCGCACCCCTCACACGCTTCGTGGCCCCATAGGGAGCTCCACCTAACGTCCGAGTGGTGCAATCCGCATGGTGGCGCCGCCCAATTGTGGCACACCCCTCACACGCCCCGTGGCCCCACGGGGAACTCCACCTAACGTCCCAGTGGCGCAGTCCGCGAAGCGGCGCGGCCCCAGTTTGGCACACCACGTTTCTCCCAGCGGCGCAGTCCGCATGGTGGCGCCGACCCATGCCGGCACACCCCTCACACGGTTCGTGGCGCCATAGGGAGCTCCTCCTCAGGGCCCAGTGGCGCAGTTCGCATGGCGGCGCCGCCCATTTTGGCACACCCCTCACACGTTTCGTAGCACTATAGGAAAGGTCCTACTGGCACAGTCCGCATGGCGGCGCTGCCCCATTGTGGCGCACGCCTCACACGCTTCGTGGCCACATGGGGAGCTCCACCGAACGCCCCAGAGGCGCAGTCTGCATGGCGGCGTCGCCCCATTTTGGCACACCCCTCACACGTTTCGTGGCCCCATTGGGAGCTCCACCTAACGACATCCCAGTGGTGCAGTCTGCATGGCGGCGCCGCCCTATTCTGACACGCTCCTCACATGTTTCGCGGCCCCGTAGCCAGGTCCACCCCGCCCCATTTCGGCGCGCTCTTCGCACGCTCCGTGGCTCCATAAGAGGGGATCCACCGAACGAGATACTGACAACGACGGAATTCTCAACTGCGTACGGGTGGGTCCTTCGCCAAGCTCATTTTTCCAACTCTCAGCGTGCCGCTGGTCTGCCTCATGCCTTTAGCCGCCCCAGTTCCATCCCTCGATGCGTTATCGAACGATGGAAAACTTCAAAGATTTAAATCCGGGTCCGAGCGCGCCTCGAGGTGCAACTCCCGATTTCGTGATGCGTTGTCCTCGGAACCAGCCGAGATTTGCGCCATTGCCCAATAATGGGAATTCGCAACGATGTACTGCTAGCCAGACGCGTGCATCGTTGGTCGTCGTCTCTGTCGTCCCCTTTCCCTGCATCCCCCCTTTCCCTGAGCCTGTCGAAGCTCCCCCCTTTCCCAGGAACCTCCTCAACGCGCCAGCCAAAGCAAAGTTAAGCAACGTCGTAACTGAATCGAAGGGAAGCCCCTTCCCTTCGATCCCTCCCCCGCCGGGGGTGGGTGGGGGGTGGGGGGTGGGTCCCGGGGGGAGGGGGGTCAGACGCCCCCCTGGGAGTCCCGGAGCCCCAAAAAGCCCCAAGACAGACGGGCCACGAATGCCCCAAGAGGCCCCAAAGACAGTTCAAGAGAACGCCGAATCGCCGAACGATCTGTCCAAGACGCCTTGACGGCCTCCAGATGGCCCAAGAGGCCTGCAAAGCGCCCCAAGAGGCCTCCAGGAGCTGTCCCACGAAAGCCCCAAGAGGCAAAATCCATGGATGTCCCATACGTTTTTGGAAGATTTTGGCGTTCTTGCCTCTTTGGGTTCCCTGAGATCTCTCTGAGACGGTCCAAGAGGCCCCCAAGAGGGTCCCCTAATGGCCGAAGAGGGCCCCAGACGGCCCGGCCAAAAAAAACCCAAAACGGCTCCAGGAGAGCGCCCAGACGGGGGACCCGAACGGACATTTCGAGCTCTCAGCCCCAAGAGGCTCCCAAGAGGCCCCGAAGAAGCCCCAAGAGGCCCCAAGAGGCCCCAAGACAGCCCAGGAGAGCTCCAGATCGCCCAGGAGGCCTCCAAGAGTGCATCGAAACGGCGCAAGGGGAGCCCTGGACGGCCCAACAGACCTCAAGAAAGCCCCAGGCTGTCCCTAGGAAGCCCCTGGCCTCCTTCTCTTCCTCCTCCTCCTCCTCGTCGTCGTCGTCCTCCTCCTCCTCCTCCTCCTCGTCGTCGTCGTCGTCGTCGTCCTCGTCGTCGTCGTCCTCGTCGTCGTCCTCCTCCTCCTCCTCCTCGTCCTCCTCCTCCTCCTCCGCATCCTCCTCCTCCTCCTCCTCCTCCTCCTCCACCATCTCCTCCCACCCCCCCTTCTGCTCTCCCTCCTCCTGCTCTCCTCTGCCTCCTTCTCCTCCTCTTGATTATCCTCATCCTTTTCCCCCCTCCTCCTCCCTCATCCACCGTCTCCACCCTTCCTCCACCTCCCACTCATCCTCCTCCCCCTGCCCCCCCTCTTTTTCATCTTCGTCGTTCCCAAGGTCGGCGGCACCGGCCGTAAGGCCTTCGCAGCTCACAAGGCGTCGCTTTTCAGCTATCAAAACCATCGCCGCGTGCAAAGTCCGCATAACATTCCAGGCTGCTGGTGGTGACCTCAGCAGGTCTTCTTACGTGCGTTGGCTTCAGTCGCCTTCCACGCATGCCCAGCGCCCAGTCTTCTTCTGGCAACCTGAAGGACATGCTCTTCTAAGACTTGGCATAGAAGGATGCCTGTTGAACATCTAGCTTGCGTCTCTCTCAGCCCGTCGCCGTTACTTCGCCTGCCAAGTGAATGGGACAGCCCAGCTTGCGTCCTCTCTAACGCCCCCCCGATTGCGCCCTGTCCCTCGGCAACAGACATGGGGGATAGCAGTTCCTAAGCTTCAAGTGTAGGAGCGGCCGTAAACATATGTTTCTTTTGTGGAATTGCACTCGACCTGCTGGGCCACGAGCTGGGATCTGCTCTCAGAATGGGCCCCGTCACCCTCGCTGATATCGATCCGCCACCTACCCATGGGTGCTTTGCCAGTAACTGCCCAGCGCTCTTCCTCCGTCGCGTTATCATATCCCTCGCGCTGCCTGGACTGCCCCATCCCCCTCCCGGACCTTCAACGCGAGTTTTGATTCGAGATCGCAACCTGATGCGCGGACGAAAGTACGCACGCGGCCACCTTCGCGATAAACCGCGCGCGCGTCTCCCCTGGCAAACGGGCCGCATCTCGTCAATACCAGGAACGTCCCGCACGCCCCTGGGGTTTTCAACCATGAAGTGTTGGGATTGACCGCGGATCCATCGGCGCGGTCGGATATCGCGGGCAATGCGCCATGTAAAACTGATGGCCGAGTTGCGCGGTAGTCTCCTTCCTGCATACCCCCTTCCACCCCCTTGCCCTGATCTCGCTGACCTCGTCCTCGAGTGCCTGGCCGGCGCCGGCGCCCTGAGTGGCCCTGCGATAGCGCGAGCTCCACGCAGGCTCTGAATTCCCTGGAAACACAAGACGCGATGAGTCGCAATCTACTGGCCCGGGTTAGCCCTAGCCGGGCCCATTTCCATTATCGTCTGGTTCGCACCCGGCCGCGTGACTTTTTGCGCGAGCATCTGGTTCGTTCCAATTGCCCCAAGTGACCTCAGGATCACAAGTCCCTAAAGAACACCCCGGCCAGTCATCGGCCGTCGCCTCGTCGACAAAGGCCATCCCATCTAACTCGACTCCTCCTTTTCCTCCTCCTCCTCCCTCCTTCTCCCTCCCCTCCTCCTCCACCTCCTTTTCTTAAGTCCCCCTCAGTCCTCCTACCCCCCTCTGTCCTCCTCCTCCTCCTCCTCCTCCTCCGCCTCCTCCTCCTCCTCCTCCTCCTCACCCCCAACCTCCTCGTCCTCGTCCTCGTCCTCGTTTTCGTCCTCTCCCCCCTCCTCCTCCTCCTCCTCCTCCTCCTCCTCCTCCCTCCCTCCTCCTTCTCCTCCCCTCCTCCCTTTCCTCCCTCCTCCTCCTCCTCCTCCCCCTCCTCCCCCTCCTCCTCCCTCCTCCTCCTCCTCCTCCTCCTCCTCCTCCTCCTCCTCCTCCTCCTCCTCCCTCCTCCTCCTCCTCCTCTCCTCCTCCTCCTCCGCCTCCCCCCTCCTCCTCCCTCCTCCTCCTCCTCCTCCTGCTCCTCCCGCTCTCCCCTCCTCCTCCTCCTCCTCGTCCTCCTCGTCCTCCTCCTCCTCCTCCTCATCATCATCCCCCTCCTCTTCCTACCCCTCCTGCCCTCTTCCTGACCTCTTCCTCCCCCCCATCCCTGACCTCTTCCTGCCCCCAGCTGCCCGCTCGACCGACCCCACGCGCGCACGCCTCGGTGACCTCGGGCAAGTCTGCGCGGGCGTCGGCCGCCGGCGCGTCCCACCGGTCCAGGTCCTGCGCGGCGCGCCGGGCACCTGCTTTGGCCCGGGAGTCAAGCGTCTTGTCGGGCCTGTCACCCTACAGGGGGATTTTCGACGAAACTTAAACATATCCAAAAAATAATCAAAACAAACAATCCAAAAATAGTATGGGGGCCATGTGTTGAATATGTTTTGGCCCTTTGGGGGCATTTTTGGGGTATTGTTTTTATTTTTTGTCGAAAATCCCCCTGAATGGGGGACAGGCCCGACATAAATCAAGCGAACAGAAAGCGGGGCTGATCGCTTCGCCCCTCAAGGCTGGCGGCGCGCGCAAGGGGGGTGGGGGGAGGGGAGAGGGCTTCTCAAAGGCGCCGGCCTCACATCTGCACACGAGGCCCGCACCTTCTGAGAAGCAGGGGTGTGTCTAAGACGCCCTCCCCCATCCCCTTCCCCCGCCTGCGCGTGGCAGGAAGAAGGAGCCACGCAGTTCGCCTCCAAGGGGCTCTTCAGGCTAAATTGCCTACGTTGAAGCATCGAGCGAGCATCGTCGACGATGGAACAAGAGGCGGAGCGGAGAGATGCAGTACACAGTGAGGGAGTGGAGGAGGAGAGAGCTCGAGACTCGAACAAAAACGTGACCTGTCTCCGTTGGCGGCGCGCACAAAGGGGAAAATAGAGGGGGCCGGCCTTGTCAGAAAGAGGCGGGGTCGGCGATTGACTGACCCGGGTCACTTCAGACCCGGGTCAGTCATGCTTTGCAAGATCCTGCAGGATCCTGCAAGACCCAGAAGCTGAACCTGGGTCGGTGTGCCCCTGGCTCTGCAGGATCCTGCAAGATCCCGCGCTCTGGCTAACCCCTGTTTGCATTTACCCTCGAGGCACGACGGGGCTTCTCAGAAGTCCTCCGGCCTCCTAAGGAGGCCCCTGCGATTTCGGAGCAGGCTCAGGGAGCGTCTCAGCAGGCCGGAGGCCTTCTGAGGTCTCCGAGGAGGCCCGCCCCCTCGACCTCTTCCCGCCTGGGCTCGCCGCCGCCTCGGCCGACCGCCTGGAGCCCCAGGCTGACCAAAGCAGAAGCGAAGCAGAGGCCACCGCCACCGAAAACCCGTCGGGGGGGGCCCACCCCAGGGCAATGGCTAGGTCGGGCATGTCCTCCTACAGGCGGATTTTGTGCGAAAACCAAGACTGCCAAAAGATATGCAAACATAGCCAGAGATAGTCGAAAACTCGTCCCCTAAGCATTTTTGTTGCTTACTTTGTTTGAGATTCCTCCTGTTGAGGGACATGCCCGACGCGAAGCACAGGCAGTGTCGGCCTGCCGCAAAGGGGGGGTAACGCAAAGGGGGGGGTAGCGCACGCAACCCAGATTGAGCAATCGGAAGCGGCGGGCCGTCTCGCAATGTGTGCGGCGCTCAGGATACCCGCTGGATGTCTGACGGCGGCTCTCACAAACTCGAAGCGCAATGAAAAAATCGCAACAAAGTTGCGGTCTACACACCAGGCGAACGCAACCTAGGCAGACATTTGGATGCGCGAAACTGGCTGGCGGCCAAAAGTTGCAATGCATGAAAGTGTCCCAAAAGTGCCCCTAAACTGCCCCCGTGGGTCAAAAAGTGGATCGAAAGTGTCCTTAAAGGGGCCCAATGCTGCTTTGCACGAAATGAAAGAAACCGAAGAAGTGCATCCACTTTTTGGTGCGCGCAGCGGCCGCGCGCGCCCGGCCCGTGTGCCGCAGCGTAACCCGCGGGTTAGGGTCGGTCAGAGAAGAGCTCTTTGTGGCCCACGCACAACTCACTTCACCGCGCAACGAACGTCGGGCCAGATGAAAGAGCCGAGGATTTACAAAAACGTGCAATGCAACAAAGGGTCCCTTTAGGGTGCAAAAAGGGCATGTTTCTTCACCCCCCGTTTGTTGCCCCCCCCTTTCCGTCAGCCCGACAGTGGCACGCCTGAGCGTCGTCCGGTACGGGGTGGCGCTCGTGCGCGCCATCGCCGAGAGGTCGGCCTCTCCCCCGATGGTTTTTGTCCCGTGGCGCTGGTTTTTGTTTCTCAGGGCCAGGCCGACTACCTACCAGACCACCCCAACCTACCCCAACTTACCCCGACTACTACCAGACCACCCCACCAGACCTAAATTTCGGGTTGGGGGGATACGAGATCCACAGGTGTCTTTTCGATGTTCCCCGACCCCCCCCCCACCACCACTGGAAATCGAGGGTACCTTTGGGCCTTCGGGTTGAGTTGGGGTGGTCTGGTGGGTGGTGACAGGCTGCACCAAGCACGGCCAAAACACGCCAGGTCAAGCCAGAACAAGCGCGATTCTGGTCACTGGATGGGAGAGTGCGGGCTCGCGACGCGTGCGCGAGGCAAACTACTACAATCATGAGCCGTGAGTATGACGCGTGTCAGCAGAACTTTGATGCTGCGCATGCGAATCACAACGAATATCGAATCGGGGCCGACCAGCCAAAGGGGGAACCCGGCTCAAGTGCGGGGGCGCGGAGGGAGGGATGACGATGAGAGGAAGACAAGAAAGGAGGGAGGTGGGGAGAGGGGGGGGGACGACGGAATCCAGGGGGGGGGGGCAGGAAGAGAATCGGGTGTCGCCCGCTACGTCCACCTTCCACCTCCTCTGTCTGGGCGCGCCCATCTGGGGCCCCAGGATCGGGACAGTGGGCGCGTATCAGAAGGATGCACGATTAGGATGCACGGGCAGTGGAAGGCCATCTCGAAGCTTCTCGAGCGGGGCGCGGCCAGCGAAAGTGGCCGAGGACGAACCGAGGAGGCAATGATGCAAAGGTGCTCTTCCGAAGGTTGCCCATCCTTAGGGCTCATCCGTACCATGCGGGTTGACTGAGCTCACAATTTTTGCGTCGGCGGCTGGGCAGAGGGTGACTGCTCCGGCGATGTGGCATTAGCGTGGCGCACAACATGCAAATTGGGCCGCGGTGCGCGGAGGGAGGAGGGAGGAAGCCCGGCGCAGGCGGGAAGAGAGGAAGCGGGGCCCGGTCAGGCAAGTCCCCGCGGCGGCGGGGCGGCCGCCCGGGGGGAAGGAGGAGGGATAGGAGGGGGAGGAGGAGGAGGAGGAGGAGGAGGAGGAGGAGGAGGAGGAGGAGGAGGAGAGGAAGCGGAGGAGGAGGAGGAGGAGGAGGAGGAGGAGGAGGAGCAGGAGGAGGAGGCGGAGAGAGATGCTTCGGAGGCCAGCGGCCACGCCAGGCAGCAGGCTGGGGGGAAGGACAGCACACACACGCACACGCACACGCACACGCACACGCACACGCACACGCACACGCACACGCACACGCACACGCACACGCACACGCACACGCACACGCACACGCACACGCACACGCACACGCACACGCACACGCACACGCACACGCACACGCACACGCACACGCACACGCACACGCACACGCACACGCACACGCACACGCACACGCACACGCACACGCACACGCACACGCACACGCACACGCACACGCACACGCACACGCACACGCACACGCACACGCACACGCACACGCACACGCACACGCACACGCACACGCACACGCACACGCACACGCACACGCACACGCACACGCACACGCACACGCACACGCACACGCACACGCACACGCACACGCACACGCACACGCACACGCACACGCACACGCACACGCACACGCACACGCACACGCACACGCACACGCACACGCACACGCACACGCACACGCACACGCACACGCACACGCACACGCACACGCACACGCACACGCACACGCACACGCACACGCACACGCACACGCACACGCACACGCACACGCACACGCACACGCACACGCGCACACGCACACGCACACGCACACGCACACGCACACGCACACGCACACGCACACGCACACGCACACGCACACGCACACGCACACGCACACGCACACGCACGCACGCACACGCACACGCACACGCACACGCACACGCACACGCACACGCACACGCACACGCACACGCACACGCACACGCACACGCACACGCACACACACACACACCGTGCCAGGCCAGCGGGGCACAGACGCCGCAGCCCAGGGGCCAGGGCTGGCCCGGCCGTGGCCAGCGAGGTGGACGGCGGGCACCCCGCGCAGCGAGCTCCGGGGCGCCCGAGGCCCGCCCTGCGGCCACATGCCAGAGGCCCCAGACTGGCGCACGAGCTTCGCGGCAGAAAAAGAGAGAGAGAGAGAGAGAGAGAAAAAAAGAGAGAGAGAGAGAGAGTGACAACACAAGTACATCCCCGTATCTATACACAAACGAAACACACAAGCACACACAACACACACACACACACGCACAACACACACACACGCACACACCTATATATATATATATATATATATATATATGTATATACATGTGTGCCTATTCGACCACGCTTGAGGTGATGAGGAGGATGTTTGGGGAAATTCAGCTTTCGGTGTGCGATTGGAGTCGAAACGGACTCACATTGGGCACCACGGATCACCTGTTTGGCCATCGATCTATCGACCTCACTTTCTGCCTACCTGTCGATCTCATGATCGGCACCCCTTCGACCTTTCGACCTCACAATCCGTCGATCTCACTGTCGACTCACTGTCGGCCTCATGATCGAATCTACTATCGGCTTGTCGATCGCACTCGGACACCACGGGACACCACGGGACACCGGCGGGACACCACCGAGCCACCGCCTGCCACCGGGGGGGCGTAGAGTCACTGAGCTCCGTTTCGCACTGGCCGCGGCGGGTCCGTTCCTCACGCCCGCCCGCGCCACGTCGCCTCGCCCGCGCGCGCGGCACGAACACGAAACCGAGACCGATCTCCCGTTTGGTGGTCTCCGCTTCGCTTCGAACTCGCCCCCCAACCTCCGATAGATGGAGAAAGATAACGCGCGTGCTCCGCGCGCGCGTGGGTTTCTGCCATGCCTGAGGCACTCGAATGGCAAACTGCCGCAGAGGAGTGCAGGGACGATGCAATTATCTTGGGGATCCCAGCCACGTGTATAGAGGAACAACTATGTTT